TAGTGATTGAACTTGCTAGAGCTGCTTCCCTGACACGAGCTGTTCCTTCAAAGCGATGGCCCTCACGTGGCGACCCATTGGTACTCCTAACTACCTGGGCGATGCCGTTGGGCCGCCGCCATGTGGCTCTTTGAGGCCGAAGCAAACGTGTGGCTCTTGTATTCCTAGCTATGTCCTATGCAGCTGAGATCACGACTTGGGACAGATTACAGTGGTTCAATAGGGTCCAATAAGGTCAAAGAAGAAAAGGAAGAAACTCGACTCTAAAAGAAAAGAGGTGATGATGAAGCTTTAAAAGAAAAATCAGATGTGTTTTTGTCCTTTGGGAATAGAGAGACACCAGTTGTTTGTCTTATTTTGGGACCACTCTGCCCCTCACGATCGCCACGGTCTTTGCTACCTCGTGTTTCGGTGAAGCTGTGGGGCCAAGACTGCGCATGGAATCGAGGAAACAGACCGAAGGACGTTCTTCGTGGTTTTCTTTGCTACGTTCGGGGCTCCTGGCCATACTAGTAGCAAGAAGCTACTAGGAGCAAAGGGCATTACTACTAGTAGCAAATAGCTACTAGTAGCGATGGCCTTCAACCTACTAGCGATGGCCTCCAACCTAATAGGGATGGCCTCCAACCAGTTGTTGTTCTTTACCTATCGAGTTTCTCCTCTTGTCCTTTCGTTTCCTTCTTGTTTGCCTTTTTTCCCCCAGTCCTTTAGACCAAAAAAGCAAAAGGATTGCAATTAACGGCATATGTTCGGTACCTTCCTTCAGGTCTAGAAGCCATTCTGAGTGAAAAACGAAACACATCAAGCGCAAATATCAGATTTCATTGTCTGGGATTTCGGGTGGGTGTTGTGACTTCTTGGACCATTGCGGTAAGACGCAAGAATAGAATACGGGAGCATCCAAATTTACAGAAGCTACAAATAATGACAGGAATCTTAATCTTTTCGTTCAGGGCTGCTACCTTGGTCGTAGACGATTCTAGATCTGCTTTCGTAGCTTGTCAAGAGTTTGATCTACCTTCACTGTCGAAGCAAGCGGATGTTTTAGGGTCCTTTAACGCCTGGAGGACGAACCAGCCGCTTATGTGCTACTCATAGCGTCCTCTTGCCACTAGTAGTAAGGCCAGGAGCGCACGCGTCCGATCGCTCCGTTCGTCGCGATGCCCTTTGTTACTAGTAGCTTCTTGCTCCTGGTAGTAAGGCCAGGAGTCCCAAGAACAAATAACCAGACTTAGCATGACTTAGCCGGCCTTTCTCGAAACGAAAATATCACCAGGTTCCTGGTCGAGTTGCATGAAACCACTAAACCCATGAAACGGTGCAATGGGAGGTTTGCCAAAAACAACCACAGGACACATCGCGAAGTCCACCAAGGGCCAGAGTAGATCCTGCCCTCGCAAGACTATGGATATCTACCTGCATCTTCAAACCGCCCGAAATGTAGGCAAACATTCCGTCATTGCGTAGATTTTTTTGGAGCCGACGGCATGGCGAGACTAATGAGTTTTTGTCTTGTTCGATGGCAACAGTTCTCAAATGTTCTTTTGATGCGAAAGACAGCATGTTACCTGACTCACCTTCCCTCCATTGGCTGAACGATCATCGCAAGGGATGAAATCAATAAATGAGATCACTGGTACTAAGCAAGCCGTTCACGTCTACCTACCAAGCCTCCTTTAATCTCCTTTACTCAGGTGCTTATTTGTGCTTACCACCTGGGCGTAGGCCTTCAGCTCCTACAACCGCAAGCTAGACTGCAGATAGACCATCCCCCAACTCTATATGCATTGTAGAGACTCGTGTGCCGCATTTGAAGTGCCTACCATGGATTGGCTTACGTCAATAGTGGTGAGGAACCGCGGCCAAGCTAATCTAGCAAGCGCTCAGCTTGTGGCACGCTGAATCCTGCACTGTAGGAGAGCGAGACTGTTTTCAGCACGTCTGCTGTAAGCTGCACGAGAAGTCCTTGAGAAGTGCAGGCTAGAACCTGTGGCTGTTTGAGTTTGGCTCCAGACCTGTACGCCCAAGCCTGCGGCTGTGATAGTTCCAGTCATTCTATACTAGAAACACCAGGTCTGGAACGATGGGCTTGACAACAGCGTGCACCTGACTGAAGTCTCCAGCTGTCTTCGAACAAGCTGTACACTGAGGCAGGGCCGCTTGGTGAAGACTTGCCTGTTGGAGGCGCACAATCGGCGCCAGCTGCACAGATGGTGGCGTGCCGGGGTGCCAGGATGCGGATGGTGTAAACTTGATGAAAGTCACGAGCTTTAGGCTTGTCAACATGTTCGTACATAAGTCTTGGTTATGCGGTATGCCCACCTCCCGCCTATGCAGTCTTGAACCATCTTGAACCGATATTGCCCTAGAAGTTCACGAGCACAGCTAGGGTCGACAGTGAGGCTCGAAGCCCGCTCTTTGCCATGGAGGGCAAGGCCTTGCTATGCCAGGCAGGGACGGCAGGGACACTTGTTCAAGTGGTCAAAGAAGCTGAAGCTTTAGGGTGGAATTTAAATTTGTTTGCCGAGTGGTTTGTCTAACTTGTCTACAGTGGCAGCTGAAAGTTGAGTTTTGCCACCATGTGCCGGTGCTGAAACATCTGTCACAACACACGCCACAGAAGTTACCATGCGCACGCGTGCCTCAATCTAAACTCCTTCCGGACAAGCAGACCGCACGTGCTTCGGGTGTTGCAGCGAAAGTATGTTGGGGCTGTGCGTTTCAGCGGGGCTGGGCGCTTCCAGTCTGTGACCTGAGTGTTTCCTATCGAGTCTTTGCACCGTTTCTAGAACGATGCACTGCAACAGGATCCTGTTGTAGTTTTCCCACGAGCCTTGATTCATTGCCCCCACTGATGAGGGCCAATTCATGTGAAGAATGTGCACAATTCGTCATCAGCGGTTCCCTCTCCTCCCATTGGGTGCCATGTCCGAACAAAGTCATCCAAACAAATACCCTGGCAGGAAAAGATTCATCACCAAACGGTGCTTAAATACAGTACCTGACCATACCTGACCCATTGTAAATTTTCATGGCAAGTTAGGATTCTAGTTGTTTTCGCAGGTCTTATCTATCAATATCGGGTGATGGGCAAATTATTACGAAGTGATTCCGCATCCTGAATTGACCACCGCCTGTTCCATGTTCATGTGTTTTTCCTGTCTCACAACACCAGAGAGGGATCATATTTGCAAAGCAAGGTCCAACAATGTGCTCAGATGTGATGGCCTTATTTGATTCCAACTCCAGACCCAGGTGAGGCGGTTGTTGGGATTGGTGATCCTTTGGTCATACCGAGAATTCAGGATCACTTGGTTTGGGTGAAGATTTCCAAAGATCTGGCCATGAAGGTCGTAGAATGACTTAATATGGTATCATTGTATCATATCAAATGTGTTAAGCACATTTGTTCGATGCCCTTTGTTCCTAGTAGCTTCTTGTTAACAGTAGTAAGGCCAGGAGCGCCCTTAGTAGCGTCCTTGCTCCTAGTAGCGATGCCTTTGTTCCTGGGGAGCTCACAATCCGATCGCCCATTCCAAATCTTGGGATTTGCTCGCCATGAACAAAACGCGTTCACCTATGGCTGTTACACCTCAAAACGGGCCCACTTGAGTCCCTAGTGGACCTGGAAGGTAGCACCTTGACCTCTTGGTACCAAGAGTTCCGCACTGGTCCACACTGGTCATTGTGAACAGGAGGTCATCGCTCTTAGGTGGGAGGCCATCGCTACTAGGGTGCAAGATTCCTTGGAGTCTCTTCAAAAGCTCACTGCGGTTTAGAGTCCATCCAGGGGATGGAAAAGGACTCCCGGTCGATGGGGGAAGCTAGGGAATTAGGGTCCAAGTTTCGCATCATTCGGTTTCAACACATCAACAGGAGCTATTACAATCATCAATGAGATTCAGGAGCAACCCAGCAAGCTACTCTTCGAATGCCCAGTGTGTCCAACCCCGTCTCGTCCGCTCGACGCATGTCCGCTGGATCGAAGACCTTGTGAGGCGCAAACCACGAAGGCCCTGTCAGACCCACCGACGCCGGTGACGGCGGAGGAGGTCTACCATGTCTTTGTCGGGAGCGAAGACGACGAGTCGTGGGAGCGCGGAAGATTGAGCGAGGAAGGGGGGCGTCTTCCGGCAAAGAAAAAAAGGAACAAAGGACGCTGAAAAGGCCTCCCCTCACTTTTGAACAGCCGCGGACCATGTGGGCCTGCCATGGTCTACAGGTTTTACCAAAAGATTTCCCTTTCCGCCTGTTCCAATCCCGCATGCTACAAAAGATGGTGTTTGGGTGCATCGCCTACGCCTACCATGGCCAACTGATGAGCTCCCATGTTGTGATCCTTGGAAGTTTGACCACTCCATGTGGGAAGGTCATTCAAGGATCCACTTTGGCGGGGAATTTTCAGAAGGATCCCTGGCTCTTACAGGTCTTTAATGGTGTCTGATCTTTGGCATAATGGTTTCTCCTTAGTATTCCTAGGTTCCAGGGTGGTCGCTTCGTTCGGTCAGTGTAATTATACACTTGAGTCACTTGAGGGCTCCTGCGACTGCATAAGCCAATGATGACTGAGTGAAGCAAAAGCAAACTCTATAGCTTGGTGAAGAAGCCGCTGGAATGCGGAAACGTCAGCCCCAAATTCCGCAGAAGTTCACATGATCAATCTGCTAAGTGTCAAAGAATGGCTAGCTTGGGCTCCAAGAACCTCGCATATGTATATATATATATATACTGTATATATATATATATGTATATATGCATCTCCTTGGCCTTTGCCTCCTTCGCATCTCCTCGGGCCGGGTCGTCGCCCAGTCGCACCGAGGTCCAGCCCTGCTACGACCGGAAGATCGAGGCGGCGAGACCCCACTTCGAGGTGTCGGGGGACCCCGAGTCCACTCTCGTCGGCGCCTCGCGCCTCGCGCCGGGTCGGGTCGTTGGCAGACCGGGGCTGTTCGGACGTGTGGTCCAAGTGGCTTTTGAGGGCGTGTGAACGGGCGATGGCAGCGTTTTCCTTCACATCTTCATGGGACGATGAGGCACCCACAGATGGATGCCAAGCAAATCGGTTGGTGATCTTTTTGGTTGGAACAAATCTCACATGCTAACACATCACCACGAGCTTCGCGGTGCGAACTCCGCGTTCGCAAAGTTTGGCTCAAGGACATCTCGACCTCTCACGCACGCGAAGAAACCCGGAGCACCATGACGATCGGTTTCATCGTCGCAGGAGCGATCAAGCCTGAGGTTGTTCACTTCGGTCACTTGGAGGAATCAGTTTTTGAACAAAGGGCATCGCGACGAACGGAACAAGTACGCTACGTTCGGGGCTCCTGGCCTTACTACTAGGAGCAATGTTCGCTACTAGTAATAAGGGTCAAAGTAAGGGCGGACCAGAGATGAGAATCTCACACTTTTTGAGGTGACGATGGTGACCTACCCCCCTTTGACGATTCAGATGATTGCTTGACCAGTGGAGAATTTCAACCTGCGGCTTGGGCAAACACAAGAAATTATGTGTTGTTGTATTCTTTTTAGTGAAACACGTTGAGTTTGCAAGTGCCCTCTCAGTCGTTAGGTGACCTTTATTTGAGACAGTAGGTGGCTGTGAGAACAAGATTTGTTTATATTTAGTATGTCTTTCTATGTTTCATGTCGTTTTTGAACTGACTTGTCAAGTTAAATGCTAAATGCTTCAGCGCTTAAGCCCTCGGTGGCCAAGTCTGCCCAGACTTAAATCGTGAAGCGAATTTCCCCGAGGGCCGTCGGATGATCGCTCGCCGTCAGTGGCCGAAGGGCTCGGCCCTTTTCAGCATGCGCAGTTCGGACATCGCTCAGGTGGCCAGTCGCGCCACGAGTGAATTCACGACGACGACGACGACGACGAGATCGAGCAAGAAGAAATTGTCCAGGGGTACACGAAATGCAGTTTGGATTTGGGAGGGCATGAGGACGGACCGACTCCCGTTCTGTTGGCCAAGGGGCGAAGGGGCGAGATGGGATGCTTCGGTGGTTTGTTGCTTTCTAAGAAAGGAACAAAGAAAAGAAAAGTTCAGAGAACAAGAAAGAAAGGAGAAGAAGATCTTATGAGATCAGGACTAGAGGAGAAAGATCCAAAGAAAGTGTGAGGGACTACCAAAGTCTATGCACAGGTGTTCTTGGAGCTGTCCATGCAGAGTTCTATTGGATTTGGCTATTTGATATGCACTTTGATATGCATAAGTGCTTCGCAAATACACAGAGAGTTTATATAATTTATATAGCATACATTCATGAGTCTTCATTAAATCAACTTTGCATTAAGTTAAGCGACTTTGTTTAAAGGACGGATTTATGTAAAAAAGAATTGCTACTTCTGTTTGTTTACCGCCAAACCTACCTTCAACACCCCGATTCACACCGCATCCTCGTTTTCTGCTAGGACCTCTGCCCTCCTGCAGCTCGGAGCGACGGGCGACGGGGGCAATCAGGGTCTGAAATGTAGTCCATTGATGAACTGTAACTTCATTGAACAACAGATCCTAATCCTTTATCCAATCTAATAGCGATGTCCTCCAGTCCACTGAACTTGCCACTTCCGACCAATACTCGGTAGCAAGCAGATCTTGTTTTGGTTAATGGAGCACGTGTGAAATAGTGTGTTGATGACGCAAGAACCCTTCGTTGGCGTTGCATGTCGCTTTTTCCATGGACCACAGTGGTTTCGCTTGTGTTGGTTGGTTCGACCACCAAGCCTTATCCGTTTGGGCGTGGGCCAAAGCTAAAGATCTCGAAAGATGCTAGCTTGTTTGCATCTCTGTGGTCACTACCCTGATACAGCATAGTCCCATTTGCTCCTAAAAATCAGGGGGAAATCAGACTACCTGAGTATATCTGCGCAACTTGCAGCTTTCTTGATCATGCAAAAAAAGCCGAGGAAACAGCACGTTCGTGAGCTGGGCTTCAGCTTTCCAGGACTGGATCGTCAGCCTAAGACATGACCTATGGGGTGAACACTTGCAGAGGATGGGTGGGGACTAGCTTCAGTTCACACTCATCCTCTTTTGGACTTAGGAAACCCATTGCTCCATGGAGCTCTGTAGGATGCACTAAACGAGAGAAAATGCCTCAGGTGCAGGACTTGGCTCCGAAACCGAGCCGGACTTGGTTTCGGGTGGATGTTTGACACCCGTTCTCGGGAGTCGTTCTTTCCTCCGCAGGCATGGAAGTGTGTCCTCTCCATATTGCAGCATACGTGGGTGTCTGAGCTGCACCAGTCACCGTGGGCGTTTGAGCTGCGAGGGGGAAGGAAATTGTGGGGTCGAAATGATTTGGGAAAGATTGGTGCAAGATCGTCCAGAAGGTACATCAAGAAATCATGGTCTTGGGGAAGAAGGGCCCCTTGAATGACTTGGTCTTCCGCATGCGCAAAGCCACATCAAGCATAAAACACCAAATAATGGCGAGTAAGGCACTTGTTCCTAGGAGCGATGCACTTGTTCCTAGTAGCTTCTTGTTACTACTAGTAAGGCACTTGTTCCTAGTAGCGATGCACTTGCGTAGCTTCAGCCGAAATCTCCGAAATGAAAATTCGTTCGCGCGGGAAGAAGCCGCCACGTGAAAGTCTGGACGAAGGCCGAAGGGTCCACATCTCCTGGAAGCTTCACGAGTCCTTGGATAGGTAGATTGATGGTTTGACCCTCCATCTTGTTTGGCGGGTTACACCAAATCACCAGTTGTGGAGGAAGTGTTCAGGGATTCTCCAACAGCACTGGTGCTCCGGCAAGAGGGATGAACACTGGTTCTTTTCGACGAAAGAGGTGTTTGACCATCCCACCATGAACTCTGTCAACTCAGTGACTGCTTACTACCAGTGGGTGGTGTGTTTTTCAGAGCTAGAAAAACAAGCCCCGCGACAGGAAAACCACCTCAAATGATTCTCCGAAAGAAGCACAAGCAATTCCCAATTTAGAAGCACAAGCCCCACGCTGTGAGGGTAGCAATGACACTCAGCGAAAACGGAGTACTCCTCCTTCAGCCACTGGTGTGCACTGATGCTGTAAGGATTTCGAGAAAACAAGCTCTGCCATCTCCACCATCGACTGTGGTTCTCACAGATTTGATCACTAATTAGGCGATGTATTCCTCCCTTTTTCGCTGAACTCACACGAGTCACACGAGCCAACACCATGTTAGTGTTGCTTGGCGGCCAGGAGATCATCGAGCAGTCCGTTTTCTTCTGCTTAACGGCTCCAAGCTGCGGCAAAAGAGTCCACGAGGCTTAACCGCCTTGGAGATGGCAAAGGCGGCGAACCGCGCCCTGGCTTCAGCTTCAACAGCCCAAGACGAGTCTTTTTTAGGTGCTACTAGTAGCTTCTTGTTACTATTAATGCCAGGAGCTACTAGTAGCGTCCTTGTTAATAGGAGGTCGCCCCAAAACTTTGGTGCCCAAACAGCCTTTTTCAGGTTGTTCTTCGGAAAGAAGACCCACTACGCAACCGAAGAAGCTACGAAAGTTGATATATGATCTATATCCGTTTGTCATTCTTTAGAGGCATGACCTGGAAAATGAGCCAATGGAAAACAGCACCATTCAGGACATGTCCACCTGACATTCCGTTTCCAAAGGTTGATGTTTCAGGGACTGCTTCGACCAAGGTGGGGGCTCCCATGACAAAGTCATTGCTTTGCTGAAAGCCCACAACTCTAAAGATGAACTTATGGAGCAGATGGCAGAAGAGTCTGATGCCGATGATGCTCGAGCTCGATGATTTGTCCGAAGTCAGAAGATCAAGAGATCTGGAAGATGTCCGCCGTGTTTCCCATAAACAAGTGGCCCCAAGACCAAATGATGAAAGATTATGAAAGGATCAAAAAGGTCTCGACCAGAAGAAGTACATGTAGAGATGAATTCTGTCGTGGACTGTTGTGGGTGTGGTGGAGATGTTGCTCGACTTTTTCTCTCAAGTTTCTGTGATCAAGAATGCGAGCAAATGGAGACCCTTGAAAACCCAAGGAATTTCCCCCGTTTGAAACTGCTTTGATGACATTCAACAGATTGGATAAGAGGGATAGAATATGATCATATATGATCAATCCATTTCCTCGTCCATGCTGAGGTTTCACATAGGTTCTAGCATGGATACACCCCCTCCCGCCAGTCGGATTGTGAAGCGAGTAAGGCACTGCCTTGGACATGCCCACAGGTGCGTTTCCTGTTGGCCCCTGCCGTCGTTTGCCAGGACTCATTTTGGCTCCTAGTAGTAAGGCCAGGAGCTAGTAGCGTCCTTGCTCCTAGTAGCGATGCCAGGAGCCCCTAGTAGCGTCCTTGCTCCTAGTAGTAATGCCAGGAGCCCCTAGTAGCTTCTTGTTACTAGTAGTATGGCCAGGAGCCCTAGTAGCGTCCTTGCTCCTAGTAGCGATGCCAGGAGCCCCTAGTAGCTTCTTGTTACTAATAGCGATGGCCTCCAACCTAATCCCACCTCATCTCAGACTTGGAATGGAACAATGTTGTTTGGTTCGGGTACATATATGGATATGCCTTGTAAACACACACTCACCAGTTCTTTGCTAGATCGTCTTAAGACAGCTCTTTTGATTTGTTTCCGACTTGCATCATGCCAAGCTCAGGATGGCTTTGCCCGTCAGCGATCAGTGTGATTCCCTAGGACCCCACCGTTTAAAGCACCGCAGGTTGCGTTCCTCGGGTCGTTCATCAAATTCGCCGTTCACGTGGAATGGCGGCCACGCTCTTCTCGTGAAGAGCAGCGCCCCAGTCGCCGTGTAGCTCTCCCCTTTGGGGTTTTCCCCGACTCGAAGCAACGCACTTGCGGACTGGTGGTCTGGAGAGGGCAATTGCATTGAAATTTTAAGTAATTATTTTTATCAAGTCCTGCTCAATGGTCTAGGAACAAGAAGCTACTAGTAATTATCTGCATCAAGTGCTCAATGGTGTCCGACGTTCTTCAGGTGGTTTTGGTTTGTAGACAGAGACAGACAGACAGACAGACAGACCGACTGATCAAGTTTATGTTTGAAGTCCGATGAGCATCCTGTGGTTTGGAGACCAGTGACCTCACCCTTGGGCAGGCTTGATGCCAATTCGTGCCGTGAGGTGAAGCCTGAGGTTTGGGATGGTTAGTGAAGTCACTAGAAACAAGTGCATCGCTAGTAGTAACAAGGGCCTTACTAGTAGTAACAAGAAGCTATTAGAATTAACCTAAAATATAGTGGGAAGAGGGCACTTGCTGCGCAGGAAGGCGCATCTCGTGGCTAGCCAAAGCACCCTTGAACCGATTTGATCCCTTTCTTTGAGCGACCCACTGAGAATGCTGTCATGTCCTATCAAAAAGGGATCGGATGGGTTCTAGGAACATATAGCAACTAACCATTGGAAGCCACTTCAGGCTCAAATAATTTCCATCGGTGCCTGAAGTGCTGGTGTCACTTTCTGGTGCCCGCCAATTGCGGCGAGAAAGGGCAGGCGGCGAGTTTCAAAGAAATCTTTGGGCTCTTTGTCAATCCAAGTAGTAGAACTGCAGGTGTCCTTGTATAGCCACACATCTTTGCCCGGAGATTGAATCCATTTCAATAAACCCAATTAAACCTTGCACGAGAAGAAGTCGCCCCACGCTGCGACGGCTTAATCATCTGATTCAAAATTTCGAGGACCTCTTCGAAAATGCAAATCCTCTCGACATTGGCCAGCGAAGAGAAAGAGAAAACACACAGCGAAGGGATCAGGATGGCTTGCGTGTGTTTGCATCTAGCGCGCTCAAAGGTGACCACACTGGATTAGTAAGGCAGAAAGGAAGGAATAAAGAAAGGTCTAAAGGTCTAAGGAACACAAGCAGAAGCGAAACGAGGGAAAGGTCCTAAGAACATCGAATCTATGCTCATAGTTGCTACGGAGACAACCAATACAATTACTCGGGTGTCCCAAAACCCATAGGAACCAAATCACTAGTGCGAGCGCTTCTTCAAGGAAACTCCCCCCGCCTTTTTTAAGTAGGCACCTACTTGATTAAGCAGGCAAGGCCACGGACATTAAATAAGAAGGGAATTGTAAAAAACATCATACATATTAAGTATGTCATAATTGTACTGTCTTCAAATTTCACAGTCGAAGACCAAATGCTTGCAAATCGCGTTCAAGACCGGAATACTCTCCAAGACCTAGACCCTTGGACCCTTGGTCAGCTCTTTGTCAAAAACAATGCTATATGTACATACGCGTCTTTTGTGCCGTTCCTTTTTTCACACCTTTAGACCTTTCCGAACCTGTCCTTTGGTTCTTTAGAGATACTGTATCTCAATGTTGTCTTCCTTTGGAAAAAAACAGACCATTTGTAGGAACAAGATGACATGTGACAATTCAACAATCGCACATGACCATCCACAGCATTTCATAGATGGCTCCTGTAGTTGAGTCGTAGTGAAGTCATATTGGGAAGCAGAGAAGAAAGAAAAGTCATGTAAGGGAACCTCTAAAAAGGCCCTGAAGGGGGCCGTTATTCCAAGGGACCCAGACACCCTCTCTGGGGACTTTGATGCGCCCTGCATCGACCGCATCGACCGCATCGACCGAGGCCGGACGCATCAGGCATCAAGGAGGCCGTGGAGTGGACGCATTCAAACCAGATCAGCTGAGCCAAGTGGTACATTCAAGGCAACATACTTTACTGGAAACGGACACTCCTTGGGTCTTCAACATTCAGCACAACTTTGCTCCAGTTTTGATCGATCAATGTCAGACTCATGTTTGAAGCGGGGTCCCATGACATCGACGTGACACCGGCATTCTGAGGCCTTTCGGGGTGAGAAGCCAAAGAGACGTGGTTCTTTCGCTTCTCGATCCTGTCTACCGCTTGTCCCATTGATCGCTGCCGAGGTGTATGTTTTTTCACCAAAACGCCAACTAGCCATCCTCTCGCCGACGCCCAAAGAGTCGTTACCAAGAAACCATCAAAGTGTTGTGTTTTTCCCTCCAAAATAGGCACCAAATCATCAGTGCGTGAGGATAGCTTTGCGTCCAGCAGAAGCGAACGCCACTCGGGCACAACGCGCCAGGTGGACACCGTGCTCACGGCCACGGAGCTCTTGGACCTCCTCCGCGAAGCCGGTGAAGGCTGCTGCGGTGGATGTGGCAAGTCTGCTTGCGAGGCGAGTGGGAGAGATGTTTGGAAAAAGGAGGTTTGCCCCGCCCATACTCAGTTAAGTTGGCGCCTACTTGATTCAGTATGCGGAAGTATGCTACTAGGATCCTAGCTAGGACACAGGATAGCTCACGCACTGATGATTTGGTTCCTAGATGTTTAGGGACACAGACACTCATATTATGTAAGGAAGCTGTGTGCATTGTTTGCGGATCTGGGAGAAAAAGCCAAGATGTTGTGACGTTTGTATCAGAATATTACACCAGACAAGACGAGAGAACACAAACCTTCAAAGAGTGGAATGTCCGTGTGGCATTTTGCGTGTGGGTGTTTTCTCATCGGCATTGCATTCGTTCTGCTCGTGTTTCGAAGTAGTTGTGTCAGATGCCCTCAGCCTCTTGTTGTGCTCATCCTTGAGATACATGGCACTGTTCTATTCTGAGAAGAGATCAACCAAATCTATGGACGATGCCTTGTTTGTAAGTCTTGGCGATATCAGAAGACTTGAAGGGAAGTTGTTGAATTTGCACTTCTTTTTCTGAGTGTTCTGTGTTGATCGCAGAAGTCTACTTGTTCCTTTTTTCTGTCATGTTCCAATCTACATACATGATACAGCATGTTTGCGCTGGGGGGTCAAGAGACAGTCATCGAGCAAAAAGGGTGTGAAAGCAGTTACAGTTAGAAACGAAACCGGCCTTCGGGCAATTTACAAAAGAAAGATGCTGATGTTTGTACTCTGCAGATTGACATGGGTATGCTGGGCCCCTTGGGGTCCATAGAAGGCAAGTACTTTCACTCCACGCGACACGAAGAGGGTCTGCACCCTGTGGAATTAGGCTGCTTCGAACCCAGGAATTAGGCAATGTCTCTGTCAAATGTAGCAACATATATAGAATTACATCAAACTACTAGACATTCAGTCAAGAGTGGACAAGGCTTTGTGGGTTAGAATGCCATGTGACACACTGGCATCAACATCCCCTTGAGTCGAATCATTCAAAGCGTGATTTGTGATCATATTTAAGGGCAAAAGGAGACGCTACTAGGGGCTCCTGGCATCGCTACTAGGAGCAAGGACGCTACTAGGAGCAAAGGAATCGCAACGAACGGAGACACCTCGCCACCTCGCCCAGAAGACAGAGCTCCAAAAGCTGCCGCCGGTCTCGATCCAGAGTGAGGCGCGGTGTTTTTCGGGCACCGAAAACACCACACAAGCTTGGAGCCCATGAGGCATTTTATCTGCTGTGGATTTACACCAGGAACCACATGAACGGAAAACAAAACTACAATGCGATGGCCTCCACCCTACTAAGTAACTAGCGATGACCTCCAACCTACTAGCGGTGGCTTCCAACCTACTAGTGATGGCCTCAATCCTACTAGCGATGGCCTCCAACCTGATTTATTTTTACCATCATGCCTTCCATTCTTGGTGACTAATCGCCTATATTCCTTGTTTGTCGGGTCATATGGTTGATTCGAGGAATGCTCCACTGCTGTTACTAGTAGCAACAATACTACTAGAATGCTCCACCGCCCTGGGTTCTCCTCCATCCACCCCTAGCGAATTCGGAGCCAATTTGGGGCCCCCCAAAACCGGTGCGGAGAGCGGTGAGACGACGAGCGCAGCAGAAAGGACTTCCATCGACGAGAGCGCACAATCGAGCACAGTGAGAGACCGTTCTGCCAGGTCTTCACGGATCTCTTTTTAGGGCACCCTCAGGCACGGCACGAGTTTTCCCGCATCGCACGGGTTGCAATGGGTGCGGGGTAAGGGCTCAACTGATTGGGTGCTTCGGAACGGCACCTCCCGAAACTACCCGAACGACCGAAGCACTGGCTGAAGCTGAGATCGACAGCAAAGAACCACACTGACTCCACATCATACCTAGGTCGTGCCTAGTAGTCTTACTCTGTCTTACCTAAGTTGGAAGTGGGAGGCCATCGCTATTAGGTTGGAGGCCATCGTATGGAAGACCTAGTAGTCTTACTATTGTCTTACTATGTCTTACCGGTGGGAGCCTGACCTGAGGACACGCTGAGCCGTGCTGTGAGAGGGAATGCAGGGTCAGGAGGCTCAAAGATCGACGGTCGGTGTTTTCTTCCGGCGGTGAATAAGGCACAGCTCGTATCACCTTTGTTGACGATCAGGGTAGAATGGATCGAAAAATGAAAATGATGGTCAATGTATCAAGCAAATCACTGAATTTGATCTTGATTCAAGCGAACTGAATCGATCCAGGGGATGTCAGGGAGGTGCAAGCTGTTTCTTCAGAGAAATCTATTGAGCCATTCCAGCTATTCTTGAAAAAGCACGCCTTCCAGTTTCCGTTCGACAACGACAGTGACAGCTTCATTGGATCACAAGGTCGATTTGAGTAAGGAGTAGGGCGGATCGCAAGTGTTTGTTCGATAAAGGATTGATGGAAAAGATCAAGGATCGCGTCCTCATCAGGCGGACTACCGAACGAGCGAATCCTGCAAAACATGCAGAGCCAAGCCGAGCTGGATTCGCCTAGCCGTGACCGATGCGTTCAGTTGGGGATTCTGAAAAATGGGTCCGTGTTCATCTGACCGGTGAGGAATTGGGCTAGGATCACGACGCAGAGTTCTGGCTACCCCACTCATAGGGCGTTCGGGTGTACAAGGAAGAACAATTCTAAGCAGGTCACCTGCAGCTGCAGGTGTTACACTTCTTTCAACTTCTTCAAACGACTTCCCTTAAAACCAGAGGGCGAAAGCCGCCGCTGGCGCACTACCTACTCCGGTGCCGTCGGGCAGTGGGCAAGGTCGGGCGGCTTTCTGGAGCACATCTTCCGCGAAGCGGCACAAGAGCTGCGCCTCGAAGGAAATCGGATGAAAGGCCTCGGAGCATCGTGGAATTGATCTTTTTGAGAAGAATTGATGGATTTAGGCAGGAATGTTCATGCCATACATGAACCAGTCAAAACTGAAGATCGTCTGCAAAAAGGGCAAAGGAATCATCGGTCATGTTCCTGATTCTTTACAGATC